ATTGTAACTGTTAATTTTCTTTAAAATATTACCTATACTTAAATGTAGATTTATCTATATCTATACACTGTGTATATAACTTCATGTTTTAAAAAGTTAAAAACTATGAAACTGCAAAAAAATGTTGACAAGTCAAAGAAGATGAAGAGAGAGTTAACACCTCGATCTTGCTGGTTGGACCATGAGATGCCAAGGTAAGTGAAGTCATACAAAACTCCCTGTAATAAGCAGAAGTCTTTTAGTATACAACTTTTTTCTTTTGTTTTGGAAAAAGGTTATAGAAAATCGAATCTATTCATTGAAAACTTAAGAGTAAACTTTCCATGTCCAGCTAGCTCTATCCATCCTTCTGGGGGAAAAGGCTTTTAGAAGAGAGGGCAAACTTATTTCTTCATTTTCAAAAACTCTCTATTCAAATGTACATTGCAATGTGAAGAGACATGTATAAGAGTGAACATTTAATTTATAGTTCCGATCAGGATATCTGAGAATGAAAGGAGGACTACTGATAGTTCTGTTGGGGTAATGGAACAAAATGGGGTTGTCTCAGGCAAACTAGTCTGTATGGTTTTCCTATGAATAAATCAAATTCATTTTAGTGCCCCAGTAGGTTTTTCGCAAGAATGGAACAAGGGATCCTAGGAAAAAAAGAGGCCCTCAGAAGTAGTTCAGTCAGATTTCTTCAAGATTCAATTATGGTGAGAAAATTATTGCTACTAGTGACAGATCTAAAATGATACTCACTCAGTTGATGGTATACAGGTTTATGCAATCCTTGAAGTTTAATTGATGCCATAGCAGCCAGTTTGCCAGGGGGCTGCATTTTCCCATCTAAGAGATACCAAACCCGAGCAAAAGTGGCCCATTGCTAGGAGAAAAAAGAGAGAGAGACAGAAAACAAAGAAAATTCTAATTAAAATGGAAATAACCAAGCATATTATTATATACCATCATGTGTATTCTACAGTGAATATCAGTAAGAGATCAATGAAAAAGATCCTGTCACTAAATATTTTTTTTTTTTTTGGTTTTGTTTTCATTTCTTTTTTTAGAGAAGGGTCTTTTCTCATTCTACAAAGTGTAACACAGTCATTTTTCCTGCCTGTTTTTCTATCTGCAATGTGGATGATGTTTTACTTAAAATATTTCAAAGAGGGATCCCTGGGTGGCGCAGAGGTTTGGCGCCTCCCTTTGCCCGGGGCGCGATCCTGGAGACCTGGGATCGAATCCCACGTCGGGCTCCCGGTGCATGGAGCCTGCTTCTCCCTCTGCCTGTGTCTCTGCCTCTCTGTCTCTCTCTGTGTGACTATCATGAATAAATAAATAAAATATTTAAAAAAAATATTTCAAAGATATGTTTTTCTTTATATAATGACTTTTTTGGGGTATCACATAGAATTTGGAAGGGAAATAAGAAACTCTTATGAAAGTAGAAACTGTTTATAAAGGTCTTCACAAATATTTTGAGACTAACAGATACATTTAATTGAATGATGAGTGGCCAACTGGGAAGTGAAGACTATTCAGAAGTTCAATTCCATGGGAGGATACACTAACAGAATATAGCTGGACAAGTATAGATGGATGATGAATAAACTTTAATTTTAAATAGCTGCCTTATCAGGTTGTGGTCCTAGGGTCCTGAGACTGAGTAGTACATCGGGTTCCCTGCATGGAGCCTGCTTCTCCCTCTGCCTATGTCTCTGCCTCTCTGTGTCTCTAATGAATAAATAAATAAAATCTTAATAAATAAATAGCTGCCTTAGATAGCTTTAGGCTGCCTCAGATATAGACCACTGTCTTTGCAGTATCCATTAGTAATTTCGAACTAAGAAAATTCAGTCCAGAACGATCTCAACCAGATGTTTTCTCTATGCATATACATAAGTTGCTGAACAATGCTGGTAAAAAATACAACCAGGCTAACTGGTTTTATTTTAAATTTTATTATTACAAACTTCAAATCAACTTCTAAACTGCTCACCATTTGTTTTTCTCCTTTCTCTTTTCTAGTTTCTACCTTGTTCTCCTTGCACATCTTTTGTCAGATTTATCTTTTAAGTATTTCATATATTTTGATGCCATTATAAATGGCATTGCATTTTTAATTCAAGTTTGATTGATTGTTGCTAGTGTGTATATATTTATATGTATAAAAATACACTTTGTTTTTTGCATGTTGGTCTTATAACCTGCAAACCTGCTAAACTTATTTATCAGATCTAGTAGCTTTTCTTAGATTCCATCTGATTTTTTTTTTTTACATAGATAATCATGTTCTCTGCAAATAAAGATCGCTTCTAGTCCATACCCTGTCCATACTATTCTCAGCTTAGGACTAAGAAAAATTCCAATGGTAGGAACTGTATAGGACAATCTTTTGTCTTCAATAAATTCCAAAGAAACAAATGGGAAAAAGAACCTATTTATTAAGAGAATTATTAACCTATTTATTAACCTATTATCAACCTATTTATTGAGAGAATTAAAAGATGGGAAATTATTACATTCTAGATCCAAAACTAAAGTAAAAATATTAAGTGTTCCTATAGCATGTATGAGGAAATTGTAAAATTGAACATATACTAGACATTTGATATTAAAGAATTATCATTAACTTTTGTTTTTGATAAATTGTATTAGGATTTTATTTTTAAAAAGAATTTGTATCGGGATCCCTGGGTGGCTCAGTGGTTTAGCACTGCCTTCAGCCCAGGGGGTGATCCTGGAGACCCGGGATGGAGTCCCATGTCGGGCTCCCTGCATGGAGCCTGCTTCTCCCTCTGCCTGTGTCTCTGCCCCTCTCTCTTTCTCTCTGTCCCTCATGAATAAATAATAAAATAAAATATTAAAAAAATAAAAAATAAAAAGAATCTGTATCTTGGAGAGAACATATTGAAATATTTACTTATGAAATAACAAGAATCTGAGATTCATCTCAAATTCATAAGGAAGGGAAAGAAGCGAGTGGGAATACAGAGGAAATAATATTGGTTATGAGGTTTTTGAAACTGGGTGATACCTACTTTTATGTGTGATTGAAATTCCCCATAATGAAGGTAAAAAACAACAACAAAACAAAACCTCTTGACCTCACTTATCCACTGCTTCATTTCTTTCCTCTCCTTTGGGGCAAAATTCTTCCAAAGACATTGTCTTTACTCCAATTTGTCTCTCTTCATTCTCTCTTCAACTTACTCCAACCTGGCTTTTGCCCTCCGCCCTCACTCTACCACCTGCCAAAGTGACCAGGGCCTTCACCTCACTAAAATCATCGTTCCAGTCTAAGCCTTCAGCGCAGCCGATCCTTCTTCTGGGTATTCTCTCCTCACTTGATTTCCAGGACACCGCCCTCTGTCCGCTTTTTTCCCTACTTTGCTTGTTCTCCTCCTAACTCTCACCTCTGAAATGCTGAAAATGTCCCAGAATTCAGTTCTGAGTCCTTCTCCTCTCTTCTCTATACACACTTCCTAGAAGACTACATCCAGACTCCTCTATCTTTCAGGGCCATTTTCGTGCTTAAGACTCAAATGCAGAAATTGACATCTCTAGCCTGGACCTTTACCCTGAACTCTACACTTGTATCCAATTGTCCACTTAGCAGCTGCATTACAATGCTTTTTAAACCCTATGTAGCAAACACTAGTTTTTCCCCCATTCCCCTGCGGATGATGATGATGATGCGGATGATGATGATGATGATGATTTAAAAAAAAACAAACTTTGTTTTAAAAAAAATTAAAATAGTGCCACATCATCCCATTGCTACAAAAGTTTTCAAATGTCTAATTTTACTTTTTATATATTTGCCTTGTTTAGGAGAGACAACAAACAGTCCAAGAAAGGAATCATACCTGGAGCAAGGCTGGGGGCTAAGCAGCAGCTTGGACCGAAGTGCCCAAAACTGAACTCCTGCTCTTCGACCTGCAACCAGCTTCAATCTCAGTCTTCCCTGCATCAGCTGGTGGTGGCTACACTCTTCCAGTCATGGAAACAAAAACCCTGGAGTAACCCCCCCCCCCCCGCCCCGTTTCTCTTTTGCTGTCAGCTCCCATTCATTCCTTCAGGAAATCCTTCTGGCTCCACCTTCAACCGGAACCTCATCGCTTTTCAACACTACGCCGTTACTAGTTTGGTTGTAGCCACCGCCACGTCTAGCCCGGATTGCTGCAGCTGGTCTCCAAACGGATGTTTTGCTTCTACCTTCCACCAGTCCCCATCTCTGAACGGTCTAAACTCAGCGGCCGGAGGGCTCCTTTCAACACCCAACGTGACATCACGTTACTCCCGGATTTCAAACCTTTGAACAGATACGCATCTTACTGATGAACAACCTCTTCCAAGGTCCTATCTGATCCACCTCATTACCTCTCTGGCTTTCTTTTTCCGAATACCCTTTCCGGGGGGAGGGTGGGGGAAGAAAAGACACGAAAAAGGCTGGCTGAAAGGAGAAAACACGTCCCGAGTGAACAACAGCGAGCGTTGGCCAGAATCACGACCCTCGCAGGTGTTTTCCCGAGGCACCTCCTTGGCCCAGAGACTCGGCTTCCCTGCCGACTCAACATCACTAAGTCCACCGGGGCGGGCCACTGACTGCCTTGTGCCAGTGTAATGAATTCCGCCAAGCCGTAAGAATTCGAGCTCACCTGGGGCGCCCTAGAGAAACTCGACATGTTCCCCCACCAGCAGGATGGTGCTCTTTCCCCAGGATCCGAGGCCAGACACCAGCCTCACTCGCCCGGCGGGAAACGTACAAAGCCAAGCACCATAGTTCCTAGGCCGGCCAGCCCTCGTCAGCTCCTCTGCTCTTGCTGGGTCTCCTCCAACCTTCCCATCATAGCAGCTTCGTCACGGAGGGAGGAACCAATGCAGTTATTGAGAGAATAACTCCGCCGAAGAACCCACCGGCCGGAGAAAGCTGCCGCAAACAGACGGAGGGCGCACAATTTCCAGCCGACCTAAAGTGGAGGGGAACCGGAAGTACGTCAGAAGCGCGCGACTGTTTGGATGTGGAAAGCGGGACTTGAGACCCCAGTTGAGCGCCAAGGAGATGGATCGGTACCTGCTCCTCGTGATCTGGGGAGAAGGAAAAGTCCCGTCCGCGGCGGGCGGGGAGGCGGAGTCGTCCGCCGAGGGTATCGAGAAGCTGCCCGGTGAGCGCGGGACTGAGAAAGAGCGGGAACGGCTTGCGGGGAGGGGAAGACCTTTGAGATCGAGTTTCTGTAAGGGAGGGGACTGTTCTCTCGAGCTCTCCCGGGCATCTGCTACTCTACGGAGGCGGCCCGGGAAGGGCTGGAAATGTCGTTACCTTCATGGAAAACATAGGGATAAATTCGATAAATGCAGAATTCCAGCGGTCAGAAGTTCTTGGCACAGTAGAACTTTAATAACGGGACGGTGGGATGGAATGTCAGCTTGTTGGAAATGCGCATTCGGGGAGCGTTTCCGCCTCCTTTGTGTTCCAGGTGCGGGTAGTGCGCAAGGGAACGGGAGGCCGAAGGGTCTGACTCTCTTAGAGTTTTACAGCCTGATGGGAGGAGACATCCCACGCATAAACTAATAAAATAAAAAAAAAAAGCTTATTTTAAAAAAAGGTAAATTTAAAACAGTTGTAACCGTTGGAGAATACACTCCTTTTCGGTGTTTCTGTAGCTGGTATTGCATTTTGTTTTGATTAAGCAGGCATTTTTTAAAGATTTTATTTATTTATTGATGAGAGACACAGAGAGAGGCAGAGACACAGGAGGAGGGAGAAGCAGGCTCCATGCAGGGAGCCCGACGTGGGACTCGATCCTGGGACTCCAGGATCACACCCTGGGCTGCAGGCAGGCGCTAAACCGCTGAGCCACCCGGGCTGCCCTGAGCAGGCATTTTGAGGAGAAAATGGATGTGGTTGTATTACAGAATAGAGTTTCCCTTCTCCGCTTAAAATTATTCTTCGGGGGAGAATTTTGAATTTCCGTTAACTAGCTAGCATGTACAAACTGGGCGCCTTTCCGGCTTTCTCTGGTTGCATTCTGTTTACCATATTGAAACTAGAAGAGCGTGTGGTTCTTCTACATACAACATAAGGTGCTTGGGAGTCTCAAACGGTGAAATTGGGATAGGCCTCGATCACGTAACTCTTGAGCCCATTGAGCGAGTTTGTCTTTTTCTTTTTCAGACCTGACAGCAGCAAATGTTTATCATGTTCTGAAAAGGAGCATTAGTGCTTCAATGAATCCAGAAGATAGTACTTTTCCAGGTGAGTATGACGCAAACCCCTTTCTTCTCTGGCACTGCATTTGTATTGGAAATAAATTTAATTAGATTGATCATTTAAAAGTGTAAGTACAAATATTTGTTGGTGGTGCACAAGTCACTGGGCTAGGGAGGTAAGTTAGGAAATACAAAACTGTAAAAGATTCTACCGGTCTCTTCCTACTGCTCGAATGTAATTAAATTGTATGAAAATTATTTTAGATTCTCAGCTTGACTTTTGTTCCCTTTATGGGATTTTCTTGCCCATCTTACCTCTGTATAAAATAGGGTAATGTGGCATTATAAGGAGGATTTACGGATTCTTACCATTTTTCCCCACCCTTCTTGATGATTCTCTAAAAGCACTTCATAATTATTTTTTTTAAAGATTTTTTTATTTCTTTATTCATGAGAGACACAGATTGAGAGAGAGGGCAGAGACACACACAGGCAGAGGGAGAAGCAGGCTCCCTGCAGGGAGCCCAATGTGGGACTCGATCCTGGGACTCCTGAAGTCGCAAAACCGCTGAGCCACCCAGGGATCCCCAACACTTCATAATTATTAAACACAGTGATCTTTTCTCCATCTAACTTAAGATATAGAGTAAGCATCTCTTCTATGTTTTGGTGAATTGCCATACTCCTAAGTTTATATTAGGTTCCGGTGTTTTATCCTTTGCGCTTTGAAAGTCATGAAATATATCTGAGTTCCTTTAATGCAAAGGTATTTGCCAGTGTCATTTTTCTCTGAGACCTCTTCATCCTTTTTGTCACAATGTTTTTATCATAGCAGCTATTTAGAATCCATTTACATTAGATTTGAATATCACTTTCAGTGTTACCACTTCCTGGTTTTTTGCTATACTTTCATCTTTTTTTTTTTTCTTTTGCCCATTGCCTCTTCCTATTATCCATTTTTGTAAAATACATGGATTTACCACCGGGAGACAAGAAGGAAACACAATTAATTACCTATTTGTCAGCTATTCACATGAAGTGAATGGCATGCACAGGACCACTCAACAAACTTGGAAAGCAGTAATGTGATTGGTCACTGATCAAGATACACATCTTTGATTTAGGTAGTGATTTGCGAAGAAGCTAGCAGTGACATTTTACTTTAGGTGATTACAGTTCATTAATAAACTTTGGTAACTGGAGTTTGAACCTTGTTTTGCGGAATTATTGAAACCATGGTAATTGAAATCTGCATATCAGAACCCTGCAAAGAAAGAACTGCCTGGGGCAGTCCAGGTGGCTCAGCAGTTTGGCACCGGGGCCTGCCTGATCTTGGACACCTGGGATCGAGTCCCACATCAGGCTCCCTACATGGAGGCTGCTTCTCCCTCTGCCTGTGTGTCTCTGCCTTTCTCTCTCTCTCTTTCTGTGTCTCCTATGAATAAATGAGTAAAATCTTTAAAAAAAAAAAAAAGAAAGAAAGAACTGCCCATATTGAATTAATTACTCAGTGAACATTATTGCTTTCAGTAATATGGCAAGTCTGGGAAACTGGAAGTGCAATATGATTATAATTGCGATCAGGCTGGAGAGGTAGGCATAGCTATATCGAGGATTTTGTAAATCATATCGGAGTGTTTATACTTTTTTTGTAATAATAATTAGCCATTAAAGGCTTTAATGAAGGAAGGGACCTGGTGACATCTATGTTAATGACATATTCTGGCTACAGTATAGCAGACAGGTTTGAGGAAAGTATAGATATGAGGGGGCTGCTTCAAAAGACCAGCTAAGAAATAAGAGAGGCAATCAGGATAGAGGAGAATAGATAGATCTGAAGGAAACTATAAAGGTAAAAGCTACCTGACTTAGTGTTGCATTGGTGTAGTTTAGGAGAAGGGAAGAGTGAGAAAGCAATCAGGAGTGACATTAGATTTCTGGCACGGGTATAGTGTAGTTGGTGGCATTTAGTGAGGTAAGAGACTTGAATTTTGAGGGACTATCACATGTCCAGTTTAGAACATATAAGCACACTAAACAGTTCCCTGTAAGATGTCAAAGTGAAAATATTTTTATAAAAGTTCGATACTTGTGTCCAGAACTCAAAAGGCTGGAGATTAAAAAAAAATTTCAAGATTATCAATAACTAGAAGCCATAAAGAAGGATGAGATTATTTATGGACCATGAACAGAGCAGAAAATCTTGTACTGAATCCTGGTATTTAAGGAAACTGAACTGAGCACTGGTTGTTAAAGGCATGAGGACCAGCTGGAAAGATAGGTTCCACCGAAGCCAAGTGTTTTAAGGAGAAAGATGACAACTGGGTCATCTTTGATTCCTTTCTTACTCTTCTGCTGAGAGAGAGGACAAGTACAACAGCAGTAAGAGCTGTCACATTTAGTAACATCTTAATTATTGGTGCCTTTAGGGAGTGTAGTTATAGTGGCATTTTGGAGACAAACAGGTGGAAATGAATGAGGAGAGTAGGAAATGTGATGAAATAGAAACAGTCAAGTGTAGACAGTACTTTCATTTTACCCTTGAAGAAGAGTAAAGTAGTAGTAGTGCCTAGAAGAGGGACGTGATTTCAAGGAGACTTTTTTTTCCTCTACTAATTTGTGGAATATTTGTGCAAATTTAAGTGCTAATAGGAAGGAGCTGACAGAAGAGGAGAGCTTGAAGATGCAAGAAAGATAGTCTAATTAGGGCCTTGGGGTCCCAGTGGAAGTCTGAAGGATGACTTTGGATTGAAAGGGCAATGCCCCTCATGTGCTAACAGAAAGGAATGAGGAAGGACTTAATGGGAATGGGAATAGTGTCCTATATTTGTTGACAGGATGTTTGGGAGTAATTACCTAATAATAGTTTCTATTTTCTTAAGGAAGTAGGAGGTAAAGTCTTTTGCTGAGATTGTTGGCAGAAAGTGCTGATGAAGCACATAGCATTACTAGCATATTACCTAGCTTTCATGAGTTAAGCTTCAGTTACCATATTTCTCTTCCCTCCTTTGAATTCAATTTCTTTACACATTTCTACATTCTTTGTGGCTCTAACCTGACATGCACCCTAGGGATGACCCTTAACTTCATATCCTCATATAACTTTCCGGTCTCCAAGAAGAGAATTTTCCCTATGTCTGAGCTGTAGTTTTATTTCCTCCTCTCAGTTGCCAGGATGAACCAGACATTCATGGTCTTTAAAGAGGGAATCCTTTTTCCTAAAATGACTTAAAGTTTTGTGTCACTCAATAGTAATTGAGTGAATATATTTTTTTTGGTAGATTTTAGTGGTTAAAATGATGAATAAAATAGTACGGATTTTGATTTTGACAAAATTATTCATTGTGAAGGAATAATTTTGCTCTTTAGGCAGATTGTTCTATTTGAATTTTTAGAGATTTTAAAAAGATCTACTCTCTATATATGTATATGCATATATGTACACACACATATCTTGGAGGACTGTATAATATGTATCAAAAATTATGTAATTCTCTAAGTATATATGCTATAACATCTGCTTATTTGTGGTATGTCTTCTAATAAGCATGGTTTTGTTTTCAAGCATGTTCGGTAGGCGGTATACCTGGTTCCAAGAAGTGGTTCTTTGCAGTACAGGCAATATATGGATTTTATCAGGTAACAGAACTGAAAAAAAAAAAATAGGTGTTAGTGAATGTCTTTGTTTATATAAATAATTTCAAGAATCCATTATTTAATGCAATATTCTGATGTATTAGTTTTGCAGTTCTGACTGGGAAGAGATATATTTTGGTACAGAAAAAGATGAAATTGAAGATGTTCTTCAAACAAATATTGAAGAATGTTTGAATACTGAGTGTTTTGAGGAAGAAGATAGTAATAGCAGAGAATCAATATCTTTGGCTGAGTATGCTTATGATATGTACTTTCTATGATATCTTTCTATAATATCTTTAAAATATTTAATGTTATTAAATATTTTAACCACAAGAGTGAAGATTAAATGTTTTAGCAGCTATCAGAAAGAAATTTTAGTTAATTGAAATTTTCAACCCTTCATCTTGGAAGACAGGCAATTTGAAATTGGAACTTTAACTTGGAATTCTATGTGAGCTATGATCTCAGGTTACTGGCTCTTTCCAACTTAAAAATTTATCTTGTTAAAGCACCTTGGCTTAGAAAATTTTAAGTGTTTATATCTGCAACAACTGTCTAAAAATAATGAACTGTGCAATTCTTGTCATTAAAAAAAAAAAATCTGAACTCTCCCAAATATGACTTGTTAGTTTCTGTGTATTTCCTCCCAGTGTAAATGTGAAAAGCTTTGCTTGCATTACGTTTTAGAAATGCATTTTGCACACTTGAATTTTGCTGCAGCTCCATGAAAAGGTTAGATCTAAGTAGATGAATAAAGCTATGCACGTTTTGAAAGTTAAAAAAAGAAACAAAACTAGTTGAGTAAAACTATTTAAAATGGAAAAATTGGCATCTGAAAATGTTTAGTTTTTTTAAGCTTACAGAATTGCAGGAATCGGAAAAAGTGATACTCCAATTAATATGTCACTTTCTTAAAGATAAATTCTACTTGATTATGAGTTTTAAGAGCTTGAATAAAAACTTTATTTAAGATTAATAACTGGTATTCAAACTCAGACCCTAAAAGTATGCTTTTAATTTTGCTGTTTGAGGTTGAAATACACGATTTCTTCAATTTATGTATATCTTGAACATTCAGACACTTTTAAAATGCATAGTTTCTGAGGATTGTATAGGTGATTGGATTCACTCAGATTTTTTGAATTGTGGTACAATATATAAGTTGGTGTAGGTGATATAAATTGTGATTATTTTTTTCATGACATATCCCGTCTTTAACTCAAATTAATATCTTTCATTTTAGTCTCTCATAGTATTTTATTACAAAAACCTACTTCGGTTTATTGTAGTATTCACATATTACGTTTTTATAAATTACTGCAGACTTTAAAAATTCTTTTTTCCCGTTTTCAAATTACATATGTTTGTATAATTAATGTAAGAAGACATTGTAGAACTGAGGAAAAGGTATTGAAGGGTCATTAAAAGGTAGTTTCTAGTTTCTTGATCGTAAGCCAATCACTTCATTTCTCCACTCGTTTATTTTCTCATCAGTAAAGTGTTGAGATCCTTTCAGGTCATTTCTAAGCTGCCTTCTAGCCTTAGAGTTCTTAAAATCCCATGTTTGCCCACCATTATTTAAAGATGACAAGTGTAAAGGTAATTATTTCTAGTAAGTTACCTAATAATTATTTCCACAAGAGGGAGCTTGGAAACTATTACCATAAGATGCCTTAAGTTTCCTAGACAGTGGCAGGTTAGTAACAAAGGATTTAAGTAACTTTATGTTACATAATAACATTTTGAGGAAAAGAAATCATCATTTGGATAAAATGAAAAGATTTTGAAGAATTGGAGGACACCATTCCAGCCAGAGCTGTTTTATGCCATACAGAGAAAAGCAGTATCCTTCTCTATTAAACCTTTGGCAATACTTTTAGGGTTTATAAAAATGTTTGGTTTATTGGTTATTATTTATGTTTAATTACACTAGGTATAAATTAGAGTGTTTTTTTCCCCCTTTTTTGTTATTTGTTTTTGAGGGTATGGCTAAAACCTTGGACTTAGTTTTTGAAACCTAGCTTTACACCTACTAATTATGTGACTGACACAAATCATTTAAAGGATATTAATAGTAGTGCCTCATGGATTGTCATGAAGATCAAATAAGATGATATATCTAACATAATAGTGTCTGGCACATAGGTCTATTTAATATTACTAATTATGATTATATGTAATGTGTATGTGTGTGTATTTTTCTAACTTTCCCTTTTATTTTAGGCTATATGAAGAATCTGCAGAAAATTTGCATCAGTTGTCAGATAAACTTCCGGCTCCTGGTAATATTTTATGACTTTTTTCAATAATTTCTATTTTATTTTATACTTTCTATGAATGACTGATGAATTTAATCTTTATGCTAGTGTTCTCATTTCTAATTTTGAAGTTCAAAATGAAAAAAAAATTTTTTTTAGAGGAAGGGGAGGGCAGAAAGAGTGGGAGAGAGAGATTCTTAAGCAGAATTCATGTCCAGTGTGGAGCCCAATGCAGGACTCCATCTCACGACCCTGAGATCATAACCTGAGCTGAAATCAAGTGTCAGATACTCAACTGACTGAGCCACACAGGCACCCTGAAAAATAATTTTTTAATTGAAGTTGATAAAAAACACACTCCACTACTTTAATAAAGTATATTACTGAGACATTACAATTCTCTTAATTGTTTTTATTTAGTTAGGCAAAAATTAGAAATTAGAAAATTAAATACCCATCTCAGTTTCCTTATTTAGTTATTACTGAAGAATGTTTCCGCTATATACCATTGTTTTCCACAGTATATTCTATAGAACACTAGTCCTATGAACACCTCCTGGAGAAAGAACTTCTTTAACCTAGATCATTTGGATAACATTCTTGTAAGGTGTGAGGTCACTATATACGTTATCAAATAGAAAGTTATATAGTTAAAAAAAGCCCTTTACTCAGCCTTTTTTTTTTTTTTTACAGAGCCCATTTTTTTTATATAATGAAAAGCATATTTTGTGAAATATTACATCATACTATTTTTAAGACTGTATTCTGTCTCAAATTTATCTTTCTTTGTGTCAGTCAAGTAGCTGACATCTAAAGCTTGGTATAGTTTGGCATCTATAAATACTTTTGAAGAGCTTTCTTTGAATATTTGCATCACCGAAGGTCATTTATTAAGCAGATACTTGTTGCATCTATTATATGTCATGTATTGTACAAGTTGCTTAAGTATATAATGATTAGTAAAGCGTACGTGATTACCATTGATGTACTTGATACCTCACAGTCTAATCCTTATATTCAAGATCCTGTTTTAGTGTAAAGGTCCCACATGGACAATAACTGAATACATAGATAAATAAGCATCAAGTTTTATTATTTATTTATTTATTTATTTATTTATTTATTTATAAATGAAATGTGTCAAATCCAGAATATTCACTGAAATATATAGTTGCTGTTTTGGCAGATTAGAATGCTTTCATTATCAAATTTCTATTTGGTTTCTGTTTCATTTATATTTTCTTGGTCCTTTGATAAATTTATAATTTTATAAAATGTGAAGTTTTATGAAGTTATACTTTTTTTCTTAGGAATTAATGACATTGCCAATATAATTGAGTTTTCTGACTGTTTAATTGCTCTATATAAAGAAAAAATTTATTTGAACATTACAATTTTATATTAAGTCATTCCCTTTTGTATAAATTAAGTATAGAGAAATATACTGAAATTGCCCAGTTTTTTTTTTTTTTCCTCTGTTCAGTGTACAGTAGCATTGATGATCTCAAGAGCAATGTATATAATTAAGCACTGGTGCATAGTTGGCAAGTAATTATGATAGAGTTCATTATTTTCTGGCATATACTATTTCAGGATAAAATGGCTTTAAGTCAAATGATGAACATTTAAAAATTTTGAACATCTAAAGATGTGTATTATTTTGAAGAATTTCAGAAATTAAAGTTAAAATCCTTTATCTTCTAAATAAATATAAAATTCAGTTGTTTGGGGGTACTATTTTCAGATTTCTGAAAAAAAATTATGGAAATATCTTATTCTCTTTCTAGGTAGAGCAATGATAGATATAATACTGTTGCCTTCTGACAAAGATCCTCCTAAGTTGAAAGACTGTTTACCTACTATAGGAGCATTAAAACATTTGAAGGAATGGTATTCAGCAAAAATTACTATAGCAGGAAATCATTGTGAAATGTAAGTTGCTTTGTTCATATTTGCTGTGTTATCTGTTTTTAACAGTTAACATGCTATCTTGTTTTTTAATAGATTTCCCATTTGAAGATCTTTTTAATGTGACAATATAGTTTTATGTCATCCTGTTAGTAGAGGTTTATCTATTAAGAAGAATCTAGATTTTTCTTATTTCATACTTTGTTTCTGAGATATTTAAGTTTTTAGGAAATATCAATGTTTTATAACCATTATTGAGCATTAATTATCTAAATACACTGTGTGCTTTTAAATAGGTTTGTATTGTCCATTGAGCACTATGATGAATACTATGGAACATGGATACACTGGATTTATTTTTTTGTTTTCTGTGCAATGTAGAAACAAGTATACACCATTGTGTTTTGTGCTGTTTTAGTAAGGATCAATTGTATATTTTGATCCTTAAAGAAATACTCATTTGGATTTATTAACTTCATGATTTTCTTCATTTAACAAATGTTTATAAAGTGCTAACTTTAGGCCAAGCACAGCATGATGGATTAAGAAAGTGAGATTTGATCTTGTTCATGGAAATACAAGGAGAAATAAGAATGCTGTTAGTCAGGATCATCTATGATAAGTGCTATTATGGAATTCCATATGAAACTGTGTGGGAAAAATTTAGGTGAGCAGTCCTTTAAATATAAAGGACTGATACTATATGTGTGTGTATATATGTGCATATCTGACACATTTAAGTCAGTAAATAGTAATAGGAATATCTGTTCCTTCATCTGTATTATTAATGGTAATTCCTCTTTTCAGGGATATTGAGATTGAATGGACATATAATAGTGAGTCCCTCAGAGACTGACTTAAGGAATGTTCTGTAATGTTAGTAGATAAAAGCAGCAATAGAAACTGCACTTTTGCTTGTTAGGATTAAATTTAAGGAAGATATAAAACCCTATATTTAATCATCATAGTCTTTTATTTATAGAAATTGTCAGAAAATTGCAGAATACCTCTCCGCTAATGTTGTATCTTTAGAAGATCTCAAAAATGCTATTGACTCAAAAGAATTATGGAGGGGAAAAATTCAGATATGGGAAAGAAAGGTAAGTGGATTTCTGTTATCACTGTTTGCAAAGCAGGCCTTTCAACTTTATTTACAACACTGATAGTTTAAATGAATTTGAATGAAAATGTACCTTATAAAGATGTTCTAGAATAGCATTAAGAATTTTCTGCCATAATGGAAATGTTTTGCCTGTCCTGATAGTCACTGGCTATTGAGTACTGAGTTATATTGCTCCTGAGCACTTTTTTAAAAAAAAATTTTTTTTTATTTGAGAGAGAGAGTGAGTGAGAGAAAGAGAGCAGCATGAGCAGGGGGCAGGAGAAGCAGATTCCCCACTAAGCAGGGAGCTCAAGATAGATGTCATAATAGTTCCTATCTCATAGATTTTTATGAAGGTTAAATTATGTAAAGTAGAAAGTAACCACTCATTAAACATTAGTTTCATTGTTATCATTACTATTAACACCCCTAATATTTCTGCTTCTGCAGAAATTCATCTTTTCGTCAGCAACTTATTTTGAAAGCAAACTATGTATGGGGTCTTGTCCTAAGGATTTGTTTAAATAAGACAGACAAGCTCTGTTTGTGCAGAATTTGCAGATTGGTGAGAAGCCAGATATTGAACAAGTAAATGTAAAGGAGATTGTTTGGCTCTATGGTTACACAGAATGGGCTTATTAATACACTCTTGTGGGGTGGGGTAGGACCAAGGAAAGCTTTTCATGAAAAGATCCATGTGTAAGTTGAAATAGGAAGGATGTGTACATAAGTGGAAGAACCACATTTTGAGCTGAGGAATCAAAAATATATTTCCTTGTGGTTTTCTTCTCAACTTTTTCATTGCAGTCAGATGTATTCATCTTTGTAACTTTATTCATGCTGTTTATACTTGTGTTCTCTTGGTTTCTTTTCAGTTTGGAGTTGAAATTAGTTTTCCTGAATTTTGTTTAAAGGGAGTTACACCTAAGAATTTTAGTACATCTAATTTAAATCCTTGCATTCTAACCAACAAGGTAATACCATCAAAGGATAAGAATATTTTGCCAAAGGTAAACTATGTTTAATTCATTTTGCAATCATCCATTCGTGCATATTTTTGTTCTTATAAGATGTTTGAATCTTGAAACTAATATATAGGCTTAAATATGCTCGCTTGCATAATTATTACAATTATAATTAAGTGCATGTTACCAGCATTGAATGTTGGCAAAACTATCATTATTTTAGATTATTTTTTAAATGGAATGATCCTAACTTTAGATCAGTAAACTTCTTTTGGCTGGGTCTTTGCTATGAGACCTTTCTAAGACTGGATTGGAGGGAATATGATACACTGGAAAGGGAATAGGCTTTGATGTTAGGTAGGCCTGGGTTTGAAATCTGGCACTGTCACTGACAAGGTATTGTAACCTGGGTAGATTGAATAACTCATTTGTGAAATGAAGACAATAACATACTTACCTTACAAAGTTATTACAAAAGTTAAATGAAGAAAGAGGTTACAGTATCTGACATTTGCTTCATTCACAGTTTAAGAAGTGTTAGTTTGTGTCCCATATCTTCATTCATTCTTAAAATGCAAATAATTATGAAATGCAATTTAAAAGTGTTTAGTTGGCTTTTTTTTTTTAACATTGGTAAAAACAACATAAGGAGGTATTTGTATAAAAGCACTTTAGAAATTCACTTTAAAAGATACAATTCAAGAATGTGCAAAGCAACAGTCATGGAAGTTACAAGGATGTCAGATTGATGGGTAATATTTTCTGAAAAAGGGGTACTACCAAAAGGACATATTTCTGATGCAAACACATTTCCCAGTAGTTGTTCAGAATTGCTTACTTTTAAGTAACCTGCCATGGCCATCTTTCACAGGAATATTACATATTTTCTAAAGATTATAAGATTGATGACCTCAGTGTCTCTTCTTTCATAGTATACCATTCAGGTATGAATAATTTATTTAAATTTTGCTGCTGTTGACAGGAATCTTAGGGTACAACCTCTTTAATAAATGTCTCTCTCTGCGTATACAGGTATACACACACACATACATATACTGTATATGTGTGTATGTATTTTTGTCTATATATATATACACATAATCACATATGGTGAAATTACTCCATTTTCTGCCCAAATCTTTGGGCTGTCTTCTCAAAATGTGTTAGCTTTTCTTTATCCTTTTTGTGAAGTACTGTGGTCTCAACTCCTAAAACACCTGTCCTCCTTCACTAGCTCAGTGTTGGCTGTTTTAGGCTCTGCCCAAAGACTGCAATCTCATTTCTCTGAGTGGAGCTCTTGGCTTCACTAGTTCTCTTAACTTTTTACCTTTTTTTTCAAGGTTTTTTTGTTTGTTTGTTTGTTTGTTTGTTTTTTAAATCTCAGTATACCACTCGATATAAGTTTATCCTGGAGAATTTTCTTTCTCAGTCTTACAAACCCTTGAAATTTGTTTCTTCAACATCTTAGCCCCTTGGATCACCTGTCTGTCTTGCTGAAACTAAACACAAAAAGTTGAGAACTCTTTACATCTTTTGCTTGCTTCTTTCCAGACTTATTTTCCCTCTGTTAAAACTCTTTTCAGTTACTAAGAAATCTATGTCTATCTCTACTGTGAAAGGCAGAATTGAAATGGAAGAAATACTTGTCTGCTATAGAAGATTAGTGTTTGGCTTGAATAATGTGTAAACACAGGCTTTTAAAGATCATTTTAAAGTTTTAAATTGTAATCACTAATTTGTCCACTTTTATTTTATTTATAGAACTTAAAGTATCATGTAATCTTATTTCTTTCCTAGGTTTACCATTATTATGGTCCTGCTTTAGAATTTGTGCAGATGATAAAATTATCAGATCTACCCTCCTGCTATATGTCGGACTTCGAATTTGAGTTGTATCCTTTTCTTTACATGTTCATTTTTAGATTACATTTTCTGTGTCAGGTAGACTATTTCCTCCATATTTTGATATTTGACTGTACTGAGGATTTTTTCTTTAATAATATTCAGCATATTTTTAATTGCCATGGTTTCAATGGAAATTCTACAACTTTCAAAAAGAAAACCTCCTTCAAGTACTATACTTCTGCTTCTAAAATAGGCCAAAGACTTTCTGGTATTTCTATTCATTGCTAATGGGGTAGGGAGGTTGGAGAAATGTTAGGAATATGTGCAGAAAAACAGTAATTTATATACTTCTGAAATGTTCATATGTTTCTCTTGTCATCAGCAGGACAGATATATAAGCACCAGTCCACTGTATCTTTTTATATATTTAAGTAAATACAAATGCTATCTCATGTATCTGCAAATATTCAACATTTTTAGGCTCTCTTTTAAGAAAAGGATTTTTAGAAATACACTTAACAGAACAGAACATTTTGTATAAAAAGAAATTGTTGCTGGAAATGGAACATTCGCATGGTGTTCTTTTGTGTAGAAACTACAGTTTTTACAAATCTCTTTTTCTGATAGTTTATAGGGCTGCTCCTCATAGAAGCACTCTTTTCTTGGTATATTTTCAGCATTAGAAAAATAATTATCTTTAAGGAAAGGAGTAATTATGAATTCCTACAGTTAAAATTTTTAATAAATAATCTAAGAACCTTGTGAATTAGAGGACCAAACTTGTATTAGGGAGTAGTATTGTTTTGTGGTTATCATTCATCATTTCTTTAACTCCTTTGTTCAGAGGGCTGACAAAAAACAATACCAAACAGAATTCCGTGTTGTTGTTGGAGCAGATTTCCTCTCTGCGTGGCAAGGTATAGGGTTTTTTTTTTTTTTTTTTTTTTTAGTTTTTAATATAATGTTTAAGAATGAGTGAAAAAAGGAATATAGTTTGTTAATCTGTTTTGCATAATAAATTTACTTCTTTAACATAGGATTTTGGTCCTAATTGATATTAAGATACTTTGGACTTCCCATAATAACACCAAAGTCCTCTGCAGACATGAAATGATGTTGAGTTTTTAGAAGAGATTTTCAAAAATAAGCTTCATGACTGACAATTTCATTAGTTTTAAAATTTGAAAACACATTATTATTGTTAACCTACTCCTTCAACATCTCATTTCAGTTATGTGAGAAGATATTCATATGCTTGCATTATCTTTTTTGTGGTAAGACAGGTGGGTGGAAGTAAGAAAAACTTCCAAAGCCCCACTGTATACTCATTTGGAAGTTTTCAGTTTTTCTTTCTTAATTCTGGTGATGTTTGTGAGATATGTGTCTATTTCAGTGTGTGTATATATATATATTTTTAAGTCATGTATTTGTTTTTTTTGTTTTTTAAATATTTTATTTATTCATGAGACACAGAGAGAGAGAGGCAGAAAGGCAGAGACACAGGCAGAGGGAGAAGCAGGCTCCATGAAGGAGCCCGATGTGGGACTCGATCCCAGGTCTCCAGGATCACACCCTGGGCTGAAGGCAGGCACTAAACCGTTGAGCCACCCAGGCACCCCAAAGTCATCAATTTGAAGTCAAGTATAGTTGTTAATGGGAAAAACTAAAAGTTTGCTTTTCTTTCTGGTTGTTTAACTACTGTGTTTCTATGAAAATAACTTTTTTTTATAAGAATTTTATTTATTTACTTATGAGAGATACAGAGAGAGAGAGAGGGGCAGAGGGAGAAGCAGGCTCACATGAGGGAGCCTGATGTGGTACTTGATCCTGAGAGTCCAGGATCATGGCCTGAGCTAAAGGCAGACACTCAACCACTGAGCCACCTAGGTGCCCCTATGAAAACAATTTTTTTTAAAGATTTATTTATTTATTTATGATAGACAGAGAGAGAGAGGCAGAGACCAGGCAGAGGGAGAAGCAGGCTCCATGCTGGGAGCCCGACGCCGGACGTGATTCCCGGAGTCCAGGATCGCGCCCTGGGCCAAAGGCAGGTGCTAAACCGCTGAGCCACCCAGGGATCCCCGAAAACAATTTTTTAATGCACAGAATATTCATTGACAATATTTACTTAACGTTATCTTACTGTTTTAACAACAAACTATATCAAACAATTCTACAGGGAGGAAAATGATTATTGTAATTATAGTTTCCCCATGGCACTATAATCAAATATTGGTTATAATTCCCTTAGAAATTTGATACATAAAGGAAATATGATTTTGGCCTTAAGATGGTTGACTATATGGTAATTTAAAATTTTGACTTTACAGTTTAGCATCTGAATCTCGATTTTGGCTCACGTCATGATCTTAGGGTTGTGAGATCAAGCCCTGCATTGATTAGGCTCCACCCTGGAACATGGAGCCTCCTTAAGATTCCCCCTCTCGCCCTTGCATGTTCTCTCTCAAATAAATCTTAAAATTTGACTTTCAGCCTCTTCCATAAAATTAAGTTTTTAATAAGTGTGCCTAAATGTTTATTTGATAAAGTAGCTTTTGAAGCAATAGCCTGAAGTATAATATTAGCCGATGTTTTTATGCTCAAAGTATATCTAATGTGAAATTTAAAATTTTATGTTTTATTTATCTAACATGTATCTTATTATGTGCTAGACACTGTGCTAAACATTAGGGATCCAGTGATGGATTGCACAGATGAGGACTATCCTCATGGAACCTACATTTTGGTGGGAAAAATAATAAACACTATGAAAACAGGAGCCTGGGTGGCTCATTTGGTTAAGTAGCCACCTCTTGATTTCAGCTCAGGTCATAGTCTCAGGATCATGAGATCCAGCCCCATGTGGGGCTCTGCAGTAAGTGTAGAGCTTCCTTAAGATTCTTTCTTCCACTTCTTCACCCTTTACACTCCCGCTTTCTCCAAAACAAAAGAACTCTGAAGAAAATAAGCAGACTACAATAGAGTAATAACATGGAGGATCTACTTTAAACAGATTAGCAAGATCATACATCTTTACAAAAATATGCACATAGAAGTCTTGTGAAGTTGTATAGTTAAAAAAAAACACAAAGAATTAAAAAAAATCTGTTCCTATTTCAACTCAAGTAACTAGATAGTTCTCTGTATAACCTTATCTAATTCACCTAATTTTGGGGGGCCTCTTTTTTCTAGGAAATGAGAATATCATTTATCATCAGTCACCTCACCTGTGTTATCAAATAGGGAAAGAGAGGAGTATGATAGAATAGAAAGTCTCAAGTAAGAGTGTATGTACTTTGGAAAACTTAGATTTAAGTCCTAGCTAGCTCTACCACTCACTGGCTTTCAACTTTTTAAAATTGTAAACTCTAAGTAATCATCCCTGTTTTATTCATCTCAAAAGTTGCAATGAAAACCAAATTGGAATATTTATATTGTATTTTCAATTGTTTTGTTTTAAATTTGGTATATTAGATTATCATTTTTATTGCTTCTTGGACAATGACAATACAACATTCTTGGGGGCACCTGGGTGGCTCATTTGGCTGAGCACCTGACTCTTGATTTCGACTCAGCTCATGATCTCAGTCATGGGATTGAGCCCTGTGTTGAGTTCTGTGCTCAGCACAGAGTCGGCTTCGGGTTCTCTTTCTCCTTCTCCCTCTGTATCCTGCCCCTGCTTGCATGCTTTCGCTCTTTGTTTCTCTAAAATAAATAAATAAAATATTTAAAGAAATATTAGAATATTCTTTATGAATAAAAGACAAATAAGTGATGGAACTTTGTATAGATGTCCTACTTTAATGCAGCAAAAGGGATGATTTTTGGAAACATAATTTAGCTAACATAGCTCTAAATGTGAAGCACTGTATCTTCCTTTTATATTGGGTCATAATTAGTCTTTTACATTTTTGAAAAAGTACTTTTGATTTGTGTGCTCATTCTTTGAAATACTTTTTATGCTTTATAACTTGAGCTTCATTTATTTATTCAACAATTTTGTGTATGATGCTAGGACAGAGACTGCCTGTTGTGTGTGCCAGGTACTTGTTTTCGATCCTGGAGAGAATAAAATGGACAAGGCCCCTCCTTAGGAAGCTTTCATAGTACTTAAAGTCTAGTGATTATATGATCTTAAGTTAACTTCTGACTTAAAAAAAAAAAACTTTGATTAGCCTCAGAATAAAAATAAAAACCTTTTATAGTAGGTTTTAAAAATAAAACCTTTTATTAGCTTACTAAAAAATAAGAGGATTGTTAAGGGAACATGATATCTACTAATCAATTGTATGACCAGGAAGTTTTTTTTATTTTGTTTCATTTGTTTAAAAAAAATTTTTTTTTTGAGAAAAAGAGCATTAGTGGCGTGGGTGAAGGGTGGTAGTGATGAGAGGGACAGAGGGAAAGGGAGAGAGAGACTCTTAAGGAGGCTCTACACCTAGCTTGGAACCCACTGCAGGGCTTGATCTCACAACCCTGAGATCATGGCCTGAGCTGAAATCAAGAGTTGGATGCTTAACACACTGAGTCATCCAAGCACCCTAGGAAATATTTTTTTAAGGAAAGAGTTTGCAAAGTTAGAAACATGATCACCTTAGTGCCTGCTTGTTTGGGTTGTGTCTACTGAAAAGATTGAATCAAGGTTTCAAAATTCAGGTTTGAAATGGTATTTGATTTTTAAATTCTGGGGATAGAATGATAACCTAGAAACCTTATCCTCAAGTCTCAGAGTGTATCTAATGATAAGTTCATAAGTGAGAACAAATTATCAGAATCGAAGTTTGTTATGAACCCATTATAAACAATTGACATAAATGTATTATAGGAAATTATAGCTTATGGGATTTAGAAATATTTATTTTCATATTTATAGCAAATATCTGTTCAAGAATAAGCTGTCTCAGACATTTGGGTATTTCTTTGGCTGGGTAAGACATTTATAATATCAGGCTTTAAGTTGTGCATTGAACTGCATTTAGCATCTCTAATGTATTAAGTAATAACTATAATAATTATATAATTAAGGTATAACTGGGCCCTGATATAGTATACAGCTGTCTGTCCTTTGTGCTAAACACCTTTGTTATGCATTTTAGGCTATATAGTCTTACTCATGCAGATATGAAGAACTAGAACTTAGTGTTTCAAAAGTTAGATCTTTTTATACTTAATGATTATTTACTGTTGCTAATATCTTTCATTTTTAGTGTCTTCTACGTTGTGAAATACATTTGACTTAGAATAAAAAAGACATGGCTGTAATAACAAAGAAAAATAAACATATTTAATTTTTCCTTTTTTTGCCCCTAATATATTTGTTTGTATATCTAAGAATACAGCAGATAATAAATAGCAGTAAAACTAATACATTAAAGTATTGACTTAGTATCATATATGTCATGAGACTCATTCAGCTACAAAGGACAATTAAAAGTGATTTTTCATTAGATTTAAGATCTATAGAATATCATACTTAAGTTTCCCCAGAGTTAAAAAATGATATTTATTGGGATTTGCTGATTGTTGTAGCTTACATTTCTGACCAAACAGGCAAAATGTAGCTTTCAAAGTATACTTTGTTTTATTCAGTTTGTAATCGAATTGAGAATTTACCTAAATATAATATGCGGGATCCCTGGGTGGCACAGCGGTTTAGCGCCTGCCTTTGGCTCAGGGCGTGATCCTGGAGACCCGGGATCGAATCCCACGTCGGGCTCCCAGTGCATGGAGCCTGCTTCTCCCTCTGCCTATGTCTCTGCCCCGCCCCTCTCTCTCTGTGACTATCATAAATAAATAAAAAAAAATTAAAAAAATAAATATAATATGCTGGCTTTGGGAAAAAGAAATATTTAATAAACATCTTATGCCCAGCCCTGGAAATGCAAAAATGAATGAGCTGAATTTTCTCATAAATCAGTTGGAAGCTGCTGTATGTTCTCTGGCATAGGATTCATGGTTTCTTTGCATTTTATACTTTAGTAGCATTAAATCTCTGATTTCTAGGAACAGCAATTTTGAAATTACCTAAAAATGTATTGTAATTTTGAAACCAGAACAATAATCCATCCAGTCAAAAGGTTATAAAATTATGGCTAAGTATGAAAAAATCTTTTGATGATGGCATTCCCAGCCTCTCTCACTGTTTGCAGATATACAAAGAAATGACACTACAACCTGAACTTAAAGCAAATATCGTGAATAACGAGGTTTTCAGAAATACATAATTTTTTTTAAAGATGTTATTTATTTATTCATGAGAGAGAGAAAGGCAGAAACACAGGCAGAGGGAGAAGCAGGCTCCATGCAGGGAGCCTGATGTGGGACTCGATCCGGGGTAGGACTCGATCTCGGGTCTCCAGTATCATGCCCTGGGCCGAAGGCAGCACTGAACTGCTGAGCCCCCCAGGCTGCCCAGAAATACATAACTTAATGGAAAACGGTGTCTGTGTCTGACTACCTTTGTCTGGTTTTTTACCTTTTTTTTCCCTAACAGTTTGGGCATTGTTTTTGGTTTTCCAGTTTTTACAGTGGACTTGTGAGAGAGTATGAAAAAGTACCTGTTATATAAGTGAAATTTGAGTGGAAAATTGTCAGGTGACACTATTTAAGAATTAATTTCAGTGTGTAAGTCACTAAAAATACGTTCTGTTTTATCTAGGTTGGTGCACTTTTTGTATTGCCGTGTACTATTAGTAACATAATTATTCCACCTCCCAGCCAACTCAGCTCAAGAAAATGGAGAGAATACATAGCTAAAAAGCCTAAGACAATCAGTGGTAAGTAGTAAATTTTTTAAGTTGTTTTATTCTTTATGAGAAAATATTATTTATTACTTAGTTTTAAAACAAAGCCACAGCATTTTAAGATTTTTTTATCTCTAATAACCTACTGTTAGTGACAACAAGTATATGCTACCTTATATATTCAAAAGAAAACCAGTGATCTAAAAGCAATTTTGGTTAAGTAGATAGCTGATTATATCAAACATGGGTTTCTTAGAGACATTTCAGGAATGAAATTTATGAAATAAAGTAGTCAGGTGTGCCTGGGTGGCTCAGTTGGTTAAGCATCTGCCTTTAGCTCAGGTCAAGATCCTGGGATCCTGGGATCGAGCCCTGCGTTGGGCTCCCTGCTCTGTGGGGAGTCTGCTTCTCCCTCTCCTTCCCTGACCTCCACTCATGCTCACACATGCACTCTCTCTCTCTCACTCTGTCAAATAAATAAATACAATCTGAAAAAAAAAAGAAAGTGATTAATTTATCATATGGTACATAAAACCTTGTGATTATAGTTTTCTGAAGAAATAGAAGTTATTTAATAATTATATGCTATGCAGTGTTCTACCTACTTTAGAAATATTGGCTCATTTAATTCTTATGATAGCCCTATAAATTTATTTTTATATCCATTTAACAGATTCAGAAATTGGGACTTGAAGAAGTTACAGAGCTGTTAATTGGCAGAATCTTGGTTCAAATCCTGGCTCCGACAGTTAATAGTTCTGTTACTTCTCCAAGGATTTGAACCCAGGCTTTGTTCTTAATCACTGCACTGTATTGCATCTAATGCTTTATTACATTCAAAATATCATTATAAAAATGAAACCTGTTGTAAAATCACACCATTTATATCCAAACTAGTATTTTTTGAAGTAATTATGCCTCAAAATGTTAGTTGCTTGCCCCAGTCATATAGCTAAATGGTGCTTCTTCATAGTTTGCTTATATGTACTTGGTTTATTTTGTTGTTGTTGTTGGACAATAATTTGTTTAAATTATCTTTGAGCTTATAGTTAGTTTTCGTGTCCCATGGTATGAAGGGACTAAGATCTGGAATGGAAACATATTGACCTGGATCGTTCTAGAAGAAATCTCTAGAAAGATTCCAGAGCCATAGAATCCTGAGGAGTACAAATTTTATCGGTAGCTTACACAGTATTATATAGGTGAGATGCTGAAATCCATCTTAGCAAATGTTGAATTTGAAATGGAGATGATATCTATATGGAAATTTAAATTTAGAGTTTGAAATTAGGTCTATTATGCCTAGAGAATGGTCAGGGCTAGAGATTTAGATTTTGAGTTTACCACCTGTTTTATTTATTTTGTAACAAACCAGCCTAAAACTAAGTAGCTTCAAAAAGCAAATGCTTTATTTTTTCATTTTATTTTTATTTATTTTTTTAAAGATTTTATTTATTCATGAGAGACTTAGAGGGAGAGGCAGACTCATAGGCAGAGGGAAGAGCAGGCTCCCTGCAGGGACCCTGATGCAGACTTGATCCCAGGACCCTGGGATCATGCCTTGAGCCAAAGGCAGACACTCAACTGCTAAGCCACCCAGGTGTCCCAATGAGCAAATGCTTTTTGAACTAGGTTTACCTGGGTGGATTCTTTTTTTTTTTTTTTTTTTAAGATTTTATTTATTTTGAGGGGGCGGGCGGGGGAGAGAGCATGAGCCAGAGAAGGGGCAGAAGGAGAGGGAGAAGCAGGCTCCCCGCTGAGCAAGGAGCTTGCTCTCAGGACACGGGAATCATTACCTGAGCGAAGCCTGAAGCTTGACCCGCTAAGCCACCCAGGCTTCCCCACCTGGATGGTTTTTCTGCCATTCTCACCAGGGGTCACTGATGCAGCTGCACTGAGCTTATGGATTGTTCAAAAGTTGAACTCAGCTTGGGATGCAGTGGCTGCTATCTTACTTTCTCCATATAATCTCGGAGCCTTTTCCTTGCCCCATGCTTTCTTCATGTGATCTCTAGCAGGTTAGCTGGAATTTTTCCATGGAGGCTTAAGACTCCAAAATGTACAAAAATCAAAACTTCTAGGACTTTTAAGGCTTAGTCCCAGATCTGGCCCAGTGTCACTTCATTATTTTTTTTTTGTTTTAAGATTTTTATTTATTCATTCATGAGAGACAGAGAAAGAGAGAGAGAGGCAGAGACACAGGCAGAGGGAGAAGCAGGCTCCATGCAGCAAGCCAGACGTGGGACTTGATCCCAAGTCTCCAGGATCACACCCTGGGCCAAAGGCCAAACTGCTGAGCCATCCAGGGATCCCCCAGTGTCACTTCTACTGTATTCTTTTATTTAAAGCTACTCACAAGAATGGCCCAGGTTCATAGGGAGATTGTGACTAGACAAGGGTGTAAATGCAGAGAAGCCCCCAATGTAAAAGCCTACAATGACTGTGTGCAGGTAATAGTTGAAGCCCTAGGAGTGGCTAGACAAAACCACAGCATGACTAGAGAAGAGAGCCAAAGCTAGGATCTTCAGAAATACCTGAGTTTAAGGTAAAAGTGAAAGAAAAATTAAAAAGTAGTTTAGCAAATGGTAGTTGGAAGACCGTAGGGGGCTATAATCATTAACATCAACAACAAAATACCATTTATTGCATATTACCAGTGTGGGAAATAAAGGGGAGTCAAACTGGTCCTTCCACTTGACAAAGTAGTTGCACGACCAAACAAGTGATGGAGGCACTTTGAAAAATCATTTTTTACTCTGTTTAGTCAACAGTATGAAGGTGAAGTAAAAGATACTTCCAGAATGTATGACCTAACATAATTGTAAGAATTCAGAACAGCTTCCTGGAGGAACAGGTATTGTTAATATAGTTTGTTGCACTGTACTAGTACATAAAGAAGTGCAGCTTTGACCCTTCTCAGCTCCTCCCAGGGAATAGATGTATACATGGTGATTTTGGCAGATGCTAAAACAAAAACAGAAATAGATTTGCTAGGTGGCAGTAGTCAATTTCACTTACTTTACATGAAATCCTAGGATAATATTTACCCATTTCTCAACATTACATGTGTGTAAGGCTTACTATGAATTGATTATTAATATCTCCTAATTAAACTTGACTGTGATCTGGACAGCCCATTATTAATTTTTCCTTTGTAACTTTTATAAAGGTAATTTATTGATTTAGAATTTATTCGTAAGTGGATTTTTTCCCATGCTTTTCATTGCAACTTTAAGAAACTACCTTAAAAAAAGAAAAAAAGAAACTACCTTAGAATATGACTTGATTTGATTTCTTTAAATTAGCACCTCTTGAAATTTGGAGATTAATATTGGTAACTTCTGAATAATAAGACATATATCACATGACAATCTTCCAAGGCAGATTGTTGATTACTGATTAGTCTGTATCATTAAATGCTGATTATGCTCCTACTTTACAGTATTTTTTTTTTTATCTTGGGAGTAGAAACAATCAAATTGGACAGCTGATTATTAAGTTCTATTCTACCCATAGCCCTTTCTGTAGGGGAAATTATTTATCTCATGACAGAACTCCTTTTGTAAAAGAGGAGCCAAATTTTAGCTAGCATAAAGTTTTAATAGCTCTTAGGAAAACATCGTATCCCATTATGGTGCCACTACAGGAAGTTTCTCTCTATTCTAAAGATATCAACTATTAGATGAAGCTCTTAAATCAATGTTCTGTGTTCCTGAAACTTACTACATTATGTCCAGTTCTGCTTTACTGTTGGCTCTGCATCTCCCCTGTTGTCCATGCTAAACTGTATACGGTTCCTTTAAGCTATTCTCTGATTTTAATCCTTTATGACCTTATTGTTCATTCATTCATTCCTTTAGTCAGTCACACCTTTCATTCATTTTTTTGAGATTGAGTAAATATTATGTATCAGGCATGGTAAAATAATCTGGAGATTAGTAATGAGCAAGGTAGTCTTGGTTCCTCCTTTCCTGGAATTAATTAATTAATTAATTAATTAATTAATTAATTAATTAATTTTTAAGATTTATTTATTTACTTATGATAGACACAGAGAGAGGGAGAGAGGCAGAGACATAGGCAGAGGGAGAAGCAGGCTCTGTGCTGGGAGCCCGATGCGGGACTCGATCCTGGGACTCCAGGATTGCGCCCTGGGCCAAAGGCAGGCGCCAAACCGCTGAGCCACCCAGGGATCCTCTGGAATTTAAACTATAATAGAAAATAGATATCAAGGGGCACCTGTGTGGCTCAGTGGTTGAGCATCTGCCTTGGCTCATGTGATCTGGAAGTCCTGGGATCGAGTTCTGCATCATGCTCCCTGCAGGGAGCCTACTTCTCCCTCTGCCTACGTCTCTGCCTCTTTCTCCATGTCTCTCATGAGTAAATAAATAAAATCTTAAAAGAAAAAAAGAAAGAAATATCAAGAAGCCATTACAAGTCTTACTTAATTATACCATTGTATTCAATAGCAACCAACCATAAATCCAGAAGAGATAGTACTTGAAAAAAGTTAGATGTGGAAAGGCTATTATGCTAACATTTGTGGTAAAAACAACAATTTGGAGTATGTGTGTAAACACTTGTATGTATTTGTTTATATAAATAGAAGTTTTGCATTAAATATTCAGTTTTTCAGCAGATATTATATTCGAATATCCACAGCACAGTAGGCACTGTTATACATGCTGGACCAGCAGGAATAGAACAAAGTCCATGTTCTCAGGAAGTTTACATGACTGTGGAGGTAATGAGTTTAGATTTTACCCCAGAAGCCCATATGGCTAGGCCTCTCAGTTTTGAGGGGCCTTTACTCCAGTCATTTTCTCATTCAGGACCTAATTTGCCATCCCATCGAAAATTGCAAACAGACTCTTCTCCTGACTTTATATCCATTTCTCCAACTTTATTTTTTTTCTTGTTAGTACTTACCACTACCTAATAAAGTATGTCTTTTTCTCTCACTCAAAGCCAGAGGAGAAAAGATGGAGTTTTTTATTTTTATTCATTTCTTTATTTTCAGTGCCTGGAACAGT